GTCAGTGTCTCCTGTAAAACAAAAGGTTGATGGATACACAAAAGGGCTGTACGTAAAATAATGACCAACTTCCACCAAGCCAAACAACTCCAGTTTTATAGTAGGCCCACAGTGGCGTTATCTGCTGCTAAACAAATGTAGCAGTAGACGCTTACACATCTTTTAGCTTCCAGACTGAGTTTTTTTAACATGGATTTTGTTGCTTCAGAAAAAATAAATGGAGAACTAAGCAGACAACAAAACCTTATTACACCTTATTCTCTCTCACAACGTGACACCAGGGCCTGTTTAGTTGAACACAACTCGCAGGAATTGAAAGAAAACACACAGATGGTTAAAGCTCGGTCAAACAAGACGCAAATTCAGTAAATAAAAACCAATTAAACGAAAACAAATAACTTTCTATGGCACACCTGACGATCTCTCATGGCCACAGCACAGTGGCTGGATATCACTTTAACTATATTTTCACTATTATAAACAAGTCTCAAATGTCTTTTAGAAACTACTTCAAATAGGAAGTGGGAGTATAATGCTGACTATGAATTCGCTGCAATGATGCAGAGACAAGTGAAACTTCCAGCAGCAGACGAATGTCCTCACAAACTTTCCATTGACAGAGCAGAAATGTTGCTGTCATGTGAGCTCAATGCTGATGTGCCAAAAAAAGACTGAGGAACTATTCTGGCAAATTAGTGTTTAATATGGGAAAAATAAAACAAGGTCACTATAATCTGCCTGCAGATCAGTCACAGTGGCTGATGTTGACCCTAAATACACGTGATGTGTGTTTCTGTATATGCATGTTTGCACACATGTGGGTGTGTTTACAGGTCCTGGTATCACTGCAAAATGGGAACCAATGACATGGATTCATTTTTGACCACCCATGTTTGTTTTTTTATGTTATACAACATCTCATGACTGGATGCATTCCATCTTTAATCCAAACACCAATGTCTCAAGTTAACGTGGTGATGGATTTGAAGAATGGTTTCCCACAGTTTTAAGAACCTTGTTTGAAACTGCCTAAAAATAAAAAAAGATTCCAGTCTCATCTCTTCAAGTGGTTTTAGATATAGTTATAATTAAACACTGTTGTACATATTATTTTATTTATTCATCATCTGCAGCTTAGTCCTGTTCAGGGCTGCAGAGGGGGCAGTGGCCAATCCCAACACTCTAACCTATGGTCTATATTTAGAGTGCACTGTTAACTTCATTTTAAAGAGTGTCCTTTTGGACATTTGGAGGAAACTGTGGTCTTCAGAGAACCCAGACCCCCATGTACACAAGGAGAGCACGCAAACGTACAAACACTGTATCTTAGATTTTTTTACTATAAGGCAATCATCCACCCCACTCCCAGTATATGCCTACTCAAAAAGAACACACCACGTTCAAACAGAGAGCACATCAGGATTAACCAGGATCAAAACAAACGTATTCAAGGAATAATGGGAAAAATAAAATTCTCACATGATTTCAAAAGGTTGGTAACCTTTTTTTCTTTACGAAATAAATTCCAGCTAGCACATTAGCTCTTTGGTGTTAGTCCCTAAGACATGATCCAAAACCAAAGGCAGCATGACTGAGTCAGCTGAACCACGCCAGCAGTCAGATGCCTGTGAACTGTTCTAATAACTAAGCCTGGGGGAGGATGAAGGTGTCAGGATTGTGAACATGACTCCCAGCAAAAACACTGTTAAACACTTTCACACAAAATAACGAGCAGGTGCCGACCACTGCTGTGCTTATTCTAAAGCAGGAAGGCATCAAAAAACAAATATAGCAGGAAAATACAGCATGTGAAAAACAAACACAGCCTCCTCTAACTCAACACCAGAATATCCAAATGCGGCTGCAAATTTGTTTGTCTACCCTCCAAGTCAACCAGAATGTTAGTCAGAGATACTGGGTGTAGAAATGTCACAAAGTGAACAAAGGAAAACAAAAGATTGCAATTCTCAACACACGTGGCTCTGACTGATATAAACAACAGCACCCTTATTAAAGGAAAATGAACAGGGGACGGATCGAGAAAACCATTTTTTTAAAAGATCCCTTTTGAGAAAGGTGTATAGTAAAAACGAAGACAGAAGTAAGTGGTTAAACTGTATGATTGGACCACATCGTCACTATGACCCTGGTCAGACCTGGTATCGTTAATCATCCTGAGTGATGGCACGACAAAAGGGCAGGTCTAAGTATAGATCTAAATGTTCTTCATTGTGTTCTAAATACATCTTCAGATCTGATGAAATGTCCTGAGGAGGACTTATCAGAATGACATTCTCTGACCCACTGCAGCTTCACAGTAAGATCATCCCTGACGACACAACAGCATGTGCGTAAAGTAAGACATGTCACAAACAATTCTCATCATTCGGAATGTCAGCAGGGTCACCCGATGATTGGTTTTTTTTGCCACTGGTCGACACCAAATGAACCAGGTGTGAACTTTTCCTTACGACCACAAATCTGAGGTTGAGCATTAATACCAAGGCTGTACCAGATCTGTAAGTTAAGATTGTGTGGGAAAATGAGGTAAAATTGTCAGTCATACAAGCAAACACTCACACACAACCGCACTCATTTACACAAACAAACATACACGCCTTGAAGGTCCCCAGAGACATCCCCTTAAATTAACAAAAATGACTACATTTGTCTCCACTGGAACTAGGTTCAGAGATAGCTATTCTAGAATCAGAGGATACAGGTAGGATTGTTGTCGGGACAGAATGAAGATAATACTACACTATCTTCATGGTAAGAACAGATATTGTAGTGGTACACCATGTTCCCACTGAGGCCTTGTTCAGACTGACAGATTTGTTTCACATTTACAGATACTGTTATCAGTTTGTTTTTTGAAAGTCTGGACTGCAGTATTTTTTTTTTCCTCATGACACTCATCTAAAGGCATTTTATTGGCTTTGAAATTTCTGACCACTTAAATCAATTTAAGTTGGTGCAGCAATACTGCAAATGCACAGCATCAATTTGGACAGCAAGATGATTTGCATCCATTTTTTCCTACATTTGTCTCTTACATTTGCAGGAATGTAGAGGAAAACATGCAAAAGAATTGATGTTTGGAAAACATAAAAAATGTGTAGTGAATAAATTTGTCTGCAGTCTGAACACAGCCTAATCACAGGGCACAAAGTTGGGGTTCTAGCAGAGAGATGTGTCCATGATCACTCTAGGTTTGAAGGGAGGATTAACTGCCATCTTTCCAGCCCTGTGGCGGGCCTCCATGGGAGACCACAGTACCTCACGTTCTCTTCCTGGCAATCTCCACATCCTGGCACTCGACGGCCGATAGGGCTATCAGCATCTGTGCGGCGTAATAAGTAGCCATGATGATGGCACGTGAGTGGGGCACGGGGAAGCAGAACTTGTTGACGGCAATGGTGAGATCTGAGACCATGAAAAGCACGGCTCCCAGACAGGCTGACATCTTGGTCCAGGTCCACAGGTCGTTAGCAAGTTGGAGGCCGGCAATGGCCCTCCAGCCCATAAAACCGATCAGAGCGACGTAGACTGCCACGAGGTAGGTGAAGGGGCCAGAGAGATAGGGGTACAGAAGACAGTAGGTCACAGAGGACACGGCAGAGATCAGGAGACCAGCGAGCACATTGAGGGGTTTCATCCCAAAGGCAGATGAGTACAGGATGTGGGTGATGGCAAACATCAGAAGACCTGGAAGACATTTAGAATTAGAATTTTATCTTTGCTCCATTTTTGTTGTTGCTAATTTTACCTGTCAAAGTGTTTGTAGATTTAATGAGAAATGTAGAGATGTCTGATATTAACTGTTTGCTGATATCTGATATGCCCATATTGTCAAAACACTTCTGATGACAACCGATATCGATATAGCGGAACAGTGGTAGCCTGGTGGTTAAGGGAGTGTGCCTGTTCACTAAGGTAATAGGTTAAAGCAGTGTTTCTCAATTATTTTCCGACAGAAAAGGTCTGTACAAACCACTGCATTGATTTGCTGGTACCAGCATTCTGCGTACAATCCCCTGATTGTCTAAATAAATTGATAAAATGAGTAGCAGATGTCACATTCCGTTGTGTGTGCAGTGGTGTGCTGTGTCACAAAGACAAATAATTCATTTTCACTTTGAGATATTAAAGTTTTGGCTCACCGTGGCTGAAGTAGCCTTGCTCCTGCCAGATAAGAAAAGCATCACCCAGAGCAGAGAAAATAAGGCCAGCCAGAATCTTGCGGGCATTGGAGTTTGTACACAGGAAGCTATAACCATGTGCCAGTAGAAAGACCCACAGGCAGAAGATGGGCAGACATTTGATAAGAGCACTGAACCAGGATGGACTCGAGGTGGGCAACCACAGGACAAAGTATACACAGGTTGCCTTGAAGAATGGCACCAGTTTAGGGCCTTCACTCTTCACCTAGAAGCAGAAGGAATATTTCATTATGACGTCTGGTGAACCTACGTACCGTTATTATGTTTGGAAAACGATACAAGACGCAGTTCTTGCTACACTGTCTTGGCTGCAGCCATGACACACATCACACTAAAAATATAACTCATAATGGTCAGCACACTGTGAATTAAAGGTTCGGTTTGTCATGTTTAATTTAAGTGAGAAAACACAAAACCATGTATTTATGTATTTTTAGAAGACTGGTTGGATGGAGTATATTGTCTCAGTGCAGCCACCAGATTACACAATGTCAGACATGCACTTTTTTTGTGGTTTGAGTTAAACTCTAAAAAAAGGGAATGGGAAGCGTGAAAACATTCATGGCTTGAAATAACCTTTGCTCTATCTCACGGTTCCCTTCCCCACCCCCTTGATTTTTTTCCCCTTTAGTACCCAGTTTTACCTCCTCTGAATCTTAGCCTCTATTAAACTGCAGAATATTAGCAGTCTTAAATTTCCTCCCTTCCCACTGTGCAACAAGCCACATATCTTAGAGACACCTAGCAGGGTGAAAAGTTTTCTTTGGAAACATCCTCCACCCAAAGGTTCTGAGAATTACTTTGCTGAAAGCAGGGGTCCCTGAGGAGAAATGTGAGTTTGTGTTGGAAAACAAAGTGAGTGAAGGGTCACTAAAATGGAGATTAGCGGCGCAGAGAAGAGTGCTGTGACAGGAACAGGCGAAAACTACCATTTCATTTTTCTCAGACCAGCCATTTCAGTTAACATTTTGGTCAGTTTTAATACAACAGAACATAATTAATGCTGGCAGTTGTCCCAGAAAAGTGAACGTGAAGCCTGAGAACGTGGAGGTGGGGCTTTGGGAGATGCAGCACAAGGGGTAAGATGGGGTAACCAGCATTCAAAGGACAGCTAGATTTAGTAGTGGACAAG